CCATCTTATGCATCACAATTTTATCATCATCATCATCAACAACAACAACAGCAACAACAACAACAACAACATCCGTATTCAACAAATATTCGTTCTTATACAACATATGATCTTGATTCTTCATCGACAAATTCAACACCAAATGCATCATCTTCATTTTTACCACATTATTCAACTCTTCAACCAGCTAATTCATCCTATATTCATATTCGAGCACCATCACTTTCTCCACCGCCACCATCATCTGAACTCAATTCTGATAAATCTCTTATCAATAATACAAATAATTTTTATTCATCAGCACAATTACAAACAACATCACTTTCACAAGTTTCACCAACAAGCTCAATTATGTCATCTTCAGCAGCTGGATCAAGATCACCCTCAAGTCATTCATGTGATGAACAATCCAATTTAACATTAACACCACATAAAAATGATCATCATACAGGTACAACAGATCCAAACTGTTCATCACTACCTGGTACTGGTTCATGTGATGGTACACGACGTTGTCTTTTATGGGCCTGTAAAGCTTGTAAACGTAAAACAGTTACTGTTGATAGACGAAAAGCTGCTACAATGCGTGAACGACGACGTTTACGTAAAGTCAATGAAGCATTTGAAACATTAAAACGACGTACATGTCCTAATCCAAGTCAACGTTTACCAAAAGTGGAAATTTTACGTAATGCTATTGAATATATTGAAAATTTAGAAGATTTACTTCGTTCTGCTGGAGTTAGTTCACGACCATTAAGACATGATATAGATCAAAAACCATCATCACAAATAACAACAACATCAAATACAAATATGAATACAAATGAAGTAAGATTTTAATATACATATATATATATTTATGAAAGTTTTATATTAAAGAAAATAATCCATAAAACATATCAAATAATATCATTATCTTAATTATATTACTAAATAAAGACAACTCAATATCTTTTGTATAGCTGTAAATCGAGCTTCTCATTAGCTCTTATTTTTTCCTTCTTTTTAGTGCGATTCTTACTCGACTGTATCTATCAGAATAAGTCTCGTTAAGAACAAAAAGAAAAAAAAAAGTAAAAGAACAGAATAGAAGATAATACACATCTTTAATATCAAGTTCTTTCTTACTTGTTTGATGCTCTACATACTATTTATTCTAATGTCTGTTTGATCATCTCACTCTTCTTTGTTATCAACAATAATTGAATGTTTATATTTAAGAAGAAGAAGAAAATGAATGTGTCATTCTGCACATTTTCTTCTCTATTGTCTTTAATAGACATTAAGAAGTATACCAGACATTGATCTTTCTATATATACATCTATTTAGTTAATAAAATCAAGATCTTCAACGACAAACTACAGTGAAAAATATAATAATTCAACAACAACAGCAACAACAACTTCAACAACAGATTACAGTAATAATTCATCAACAACATCTGTTTATGGAACAATGGATAGTAAGTAATAAAAAAAATTTTAATTGAATAACTCTAATACTATTTCAATAATAATCGATTTTACATGTGCAATAAATCGATCAAATAAAACATTAGTGTCGAATAAGTATTTAAAAAAAAGAAACGAAACGAAATCAAATAGATCATAAGATTTTCTTTTTTCTCTTCATAATATGTTTCGCTTCGTCAAACGTGCTAAATAGCGTGTTGATGATGATGATGCAAATGTATGTTTTTTTGATGTTTTAAGAACACATGTTGTGTGAATGAAAGACAGTATGTCTGATATGTATCTATCTATCTCATCAAACTAAGGCGGAGGTATTGTCATAATCATCATCATCATCATCATACT